CAGATAGCCCTCGTGTAGCTTTGCGCGAAATTCAAAAACAAACAAACAAACAAAAGAAAAAAAACAAATTCTGAAATATTGGGTGTTTTAAAATTCAGACTATACTTTTAACTTTACAATTATAACCATTTAAAATTGTCATTCTTTCTATTTCGCATATTACTTTCATTTATTTTCTCTAAGGTCGGGCTTGCAATATCCAGGTGGTTAGGGCACTCGATTAGCTATCTGTGGATCGTGAGTTCAAACTCATTCTCAAATATATTGATTCTTTCATCCGTGGAGGTATTATAATATAATGACCAATCCCACTTTTCACTTTTATAAAAGTAGCCCAAGAGTTGGCTATCACTTCTAAATTAGGGACGGTTAGTGCAAACAGCCCTCGAGTAGCTTTATGCAAAATTCAAACAAAACTTTAAGTTCTTCCTCTTTTTTTACTGTAAAGAAAACTAAGTATCATATAAACCTAACTGCTCGTAAAATTGCACGAAATTGATTTATAGTTACTTTTAATGTTTTGTCTATTTCTGTTTTAATCGTCTGCGGTATTAGTCGGGTGAAATTTTGCATATAACTGTATAATGTTTTTTTTTTGTTGTTTTTTTTAACCCAGATCTGTAACTTATGATTACGGTTAACTGTTTTCATTTAAGTCTAGGTTGAAGTTTGTTGTCAAGAAATCTGCTTTTAAGATAGGCATACTTAAGGACAGGAATACGAGAAGACCCATTTATAAAGATGATTAATTTTTGCGTAGCTTACTTTGATAAAATAGTGAAAATTAGCTTTGGTATTTAAACAAACAGGCTCATAAATAAATGGTTATACTCCAAGATTTAAAGAAATATTTTTCCTTATACGCTCGTGTAATTGGTTTAATTTTAGAGCTTAGGTTAACATCCTCACACATGCATGTAAAAAGTGGTTATTTTTCAAAATTTAGATGAAAATTCTTTACTGATACTTATAAAAGTGGTTATATTTGAAGATTTATATGAACTTTGTGTCCCTACATAATTATGTTTGGTGTGACGGGGATTCGAACCCGCGACTCGCAGATGGAGTACAGAATAAAATTTAAACTAGATTACGAGTCGAGCTCCCTAACCACCGAGGCCATGCCGGAGTTATTGAAACGTATTTGTTGTAGTTTATATTTCTTTACAAATAAGCACATTTCGTTATCTGTCTTTAATTTATAATAAAGTCATTAAAAATCTTTACTTATCAAACCGTGACCTTGAATCGTGGCTTTTTGCTTCTTGTTATTAATGATTCTTGATTCTAGTGCCAGAGGAAGCCACAATAGTCAGACTACATTTTTTCTCCAGAAATCAGTTAGAAAAATGAGAAACACTAACACTGATGATATTACTTTAAAAAGTGCGTATTATTACACACAAACTAAGATAATAAAAAATTGTGAATTACAACTTAAAAAGGAAGGCCCCATTTTCGGGGGCATTTAATTTTCATTGCACCATTTTGTTACTTTTTGCGGTCAAATTATTTTATCGTTATTATAACAGCACTTCTTCATATTCAGGTTTTCTGGAATAATATAAAATAATTCTAATCGCAGATACCAAAATCTATAAGTCCACTTGTCTTAGGCCTAACATTAGTTAAGCTTTTATTAAGTATGGTCTATATTCGATAGAGATAAATTAACACTGTAACTTGTATACGTTTTTAGTTTAGTTAGCGCTAAACTGTACCGTACTTAATACTATCAATAAATAAACTCATAATGATATTCTACGACCTTTCGCTAGACCTTTTTAAAATCTTTGAGCTCTTAATATGTTGGTGTACAAAATGTCTACTAAAGTATATTTACATACGCCTTTTGATTACATCCGTTAAAATTAATTGTGTCCGCATGTGCATTTAGATAGTAATTTGCTTGCGCATTTTAAGGACAGACATAAGCTGACTATTATCGAAGAGTGCGCTAGCACTCCTTATGTAGGGATGGCACGGATGTCCGTATTAAGGGATTAGAAAAGTCACCTGGATTTTCTTATCTACAGGTCATCAGAAGCTAGA